ACATATATTGTCACATATTACAGTGTGATAAGGATCCATGGGACTTGTTTACTAGGGTCTGTTCCAACTGGTAACTGTGGTTGGAACTGCGGTCCCGTAACTGTGGTTCCAACCACAGTTCCATTCCATAAGGTAAAGAGTCGGTAAGAGACCCGTGGAACTGCTGTACTTGGGTCTGTTCCATCTTTGCTAACCGTGGTTAAAACTGCTCAACGAACTAACCTACCCACCGACCCACATACAGCGCTCTGGTAACTGTGGTAACTATGTTAACTGTGGTAACTCTGGTTCCAACCACAGTTCCATTGCATGAGGTGTGAGCCCGTAAGAGACCCGTGGGACTGCTGAACGTGAGTCTGTTCCATCTGTGCTTACTGTGGCTGGAACTGCTCATCGAACTGGCCGACCCACCAACCCATCAAGAGCAGTCTACTAACTGTGCTAACTGTGCTAACTATGGTAACTGTGCTGACTGTGGTAACTATGTTAACTGTGTTCACTGTGTTAACTGTGTTAACTGTGTTAACTGTGTTAACTGTGCGAATTGTGGTAACTATGTTAACTGTGGTAACTGTGTTGTGGTAACTGTGTTGTGGTAACTGTGGTAACTGTGGTAACTGTGGTAACTGTGGTAACTGTGGTAACTGTGGTAACTGTGGTAACTGTGGTTCCAACCACAGTTCCATTGCATGAGATGCGAGTCGGTAAGAGACCCGTCCGGCTGCTGTACGTCGGTCTGAGAACTCACATCCATTGTTAACTGCTAGTTCACCGGTTACTTCACAGGTCAGCTGACAGATTAGTTCACAGGTAAGCTCAAAGATGCTTAATCTGTGAGCTAACAGTCTAAGGGCTGCCATCAACTCTTGAGTCTTAGTTCCAAGGTAGGTTCACACTTCAACAGGCTGAAGCTCACATCTATAGTCTTAACTGTCAGTTCAATCGTTAGCTCAGAAGTTAGGTCACAGGTCACGTAACAGGTTAGATTGCAGGTTAGGTTGCAGGTTAATTTGCTCACAGTCTTGTCACAGGTTAGCTCACAGGTTAAGTCACAGGTGCTCAACCTGTGAACTTGTCTGGACTCATTGTTAGTTCACAGGTTAGGTCACTGGTTGGGTTACAGGTTACGTCACAGGTTAGGGTAGCTCACAGGATAGGTTACAGGTTAGCTCATAGCTTAGCGCACAGGGTGGTTATATTACAGGTTAGCTCACAGGGTAGGTAACATTACAGGTTAGCTCACAGGTTAGGTTACAGGTTAGCTCACACTCTCACAGGCTGGTTAGGTCACAGGTTAGCTTACAGGTTGTGTGACATTACAGGTTAGGTCACAGGGTAGGTGACATTACAAGTTAGGTCACAGGTTAAGGTTAGGTCACAGGTTAAGGTTAGGTCACAGGTTAGGTTACGGATTAGCTTACAGGTTGTGCTACATTACAGGTTAGGGCACAGGGTAGGTTACATTACAGGTTAGGTTACAGGTTAGGTCACAGGTTAGGTTAGGTCATAAGTTAGGTTACAGGTTCGATCACCGGTTCTCAACCTGACGACTTTTCCAAACTACCGGTAGTTAGGTCACAGGCTAGTTCACACAAGTTACAGGTAAGCTTGGGTTAGTTTAGACAAATCACGCGTTAAAGGTCACAGGTTAGGTCACAGGCTAGGTCACAGGCAAGGTCACAGGTTAGCGCACAGGTTAGGTCACAGGTTAGGGCACAGGTTAAAGAAAATCACAGATAACAAGGGAAACACACAAAAAAAAACTTTAAATGTCAGAAAAAGAACGACCGACGACATAAAAGCATAGAACATTCCCAAAAAAAAAAAAAAAAAAAAAAAAAAAAGCAAGCCCCGTTTTACATGGAAACGAAAAAAAACGCAAACGAAAAAAAACGCAAACAAAAAAATCCAACCGAGTAGTAGGATCAACTGGCGGACGACGACAACGAGGACGCGGAAGAAGGGTAGTAGAATGAAAGGGAGGAGGAAGTAGCGGAGGAGGAGGAAGAAGGGTAGGAGAATGAAAGGGAGGAGGAAGTAGCGGAGGAGGCGGAAGAAGGGTAGTAGAATGAAAGGGAGGAGGAAGTAGCGGAGGAGGAGAAAGAAGAGGAGGAGGAAGAAGGGGAGGATGAACAAAGAGAGTGGGAGGAAGACAGGGACTCAGGGAGGAGGAGGAAGAATGATACAACAGAGGCCAAACACTGCTCTCCGTACATGCTTCCAATGAACAAGCATTCCACTTCCTGTTTCTTCCTTTTTTTTTTTTTCACTTCCAATGAACAAGCATTCCACTTCGTGTTTTTTTTTTTTTTTTTTTTTTTAATTCATTCTACTAGTTCCATCTGGATACAAGCTTGAGTCTGTAATTCAACAGTTCAGGCCCTTCAGGGTTGTGTACTATTTGAGCTAGGCCGGTTCGTACAAGCATTACACTTTCGCACTATAGTCAGAAAACGCTCACAGCAATGAAAATCTGACCAAAAAAAAAAAAAAAAAAAAA